GGAATCCTGGCAGGTAAGTTTTAAGCATTGACTGAAAAGTATTACCTCATTTGTCAATAAATTATGCTAGTTTAATGTTCATATTGTCATAAAACATTATTTGTTTTAAACTGATATATCCATTACAAGGTCCTAAAAGTAATTTAGTTGATAAACATTCACAGTCCCTTACACTCTCCCCCTCTTAAAAGAAATAAAATACTTATTAAATGTTTTCTGTCTGTTTTTCTAATTTTTTCTTCTGTATGGTTGATTCTCTCTGTCATTTTTTTTTACATTAGAACACTACTGGTAGAAACATCTTTGTTGTCAATAGCATGGATACAATGTCAGCATCATTTCCTTATTAAATGAATTCTTGCAGGCTTTAAAGTGTAGAAAAAGTCTTTTCATTCTTACAGTTTTGTTTGGATGTTAAGTTAAAGAAAGTAGTAGTTGTCAGATGTAGGTACCTGAACATCTCCTTAACAAGATTTATCTGCATTATTTCTCCAATGTCTGTCACAAATTTGTCTAGTAATTCATATAAGCATTCATTCATTGTTAGTTTTAATTTCTTAAAATTTTAACTTGATTCCAAAGTTATCCTTATTATTATGTTTGATAAAGTGTATTGTTCACAGCATTACAGCAAATTGAGATAACCATTTCCGCTGATAATACTAATTATCATTTCCGAGTACAGTTCCAAAAGACTTAAGAGATAGATACTGAAACCACTTACCAGGAATTCACTCTTAACCATTGCCTGTCAATGGTTTTGAATTCCAATGGTTAAAGCGATGCAATGTATAATTGCAAAAAGGTTCGCAAATAACCATAATCCACATAGTGAAACATGGTTGATCAAGCCATTTCCAACTATGAATTTCAACAACACCACACAGAGCTCTGTGATTCACTTCAAAAATTTCACATTAATTAATATTGTCATTTCAGTATCAATCCCATTGAACCATTGTACATTGATAAATATGTATTCGCAGCTAACTCCCATCTTTGCTTTACTTTACTTTGTTTCAATTTCATAGAACCATTGTTTATGTATAATTACCATTGTATTTTGTATTTAAGCTGAATGAATTACTGTTCATGTCTTTCTGATTCTCTACTTTGTATTATTCCTATTGAACTATTGTATCGAAACATAATTAATCACTATTATTGAATATTAATGTCTTTCTGGAGCTTCTGGTGCTTTTATTTAACAGTCATAACATATAACAAATCAACAGTTAACTTCAAATGTAACCAATAATAAAGTTTAACAATTTTAGTAGTCCATAAAATTATGTTTTCACTTCCCACTTGTGTTTTAAGCTTTCTTATCCAAGTTGGGACTGTGGTACATTTTTGATACATCCATAGGTGATTTGCCTTCAAAGGACTGTTGTTTAATGTAAACAGGTATTCCAAAATATCTCAGCCTTTGGGCTGGAATTTGGTGTTTATTATCATTTCTGTCACCTCCTCTATCTAATTCACTATCTGCAATTTGTTTAATTATTCTTATATGTCTCATATCAGCATGTGGAGTTAATTTGTTCTCTTCTTCTGTACATGCAAACATTATTTGAATTTCAGAGTCTGACATTTTTTTTTGTTCCTTATTGTTAATTTACTTTTGCGTAGTTTTATTCCTTTCTGGTATTAAATAATATCATTAAGTTCAAGGTCACTTCCAAAAAAAATGTAAACAGTTCTTTTAATCCTCTAATTCTGACACCAATTGTAAGCTAAGTCAAAAACTGTTCAAATAACAACTTTTATTGATAAAAAGTTAATTCCACAATTTCTTTATTCAACTCTGAAGAGCACTAAATTTGCTATATTTAACAAGAGAAAGTTCCACAAAATGCTCTGGTCACTACTTTTCGCGACTGTCAGGATTTAAAGCCAAAATGCAAACTGAAAACAGCCTGTCATGGCTACTTATATAGACTCTGAAATAGCCAGGACTGTCACAATTGACCAATCATTACATTACATTTGCCCTGGCAGTCTGGCAGGAAAGACAGGAATTTCTTAAAATGGCAGCCATATTGTCTTATTGACAGGAATAATTTAGAAAATGTAAATTAACAAAGTTAACAAATAACAAAATATGCAGTAAACACTTGAATTACATGCTTAACTTGATGCACTTAAGATCTGGACCAAAAACAATCATGGTTATAGCTCAGAAAAATGAACTAGTGATATAAAAAGATTCCAAATGTTAGGAATTTGAATTTTCCCTCCTGACAAACTTAGAGGTCATACCGGTCATCAACATTATTATGAAATACAGCAATGCCAGCTAAATATTTGGAAAGAAACTTATGTCTTAGGTAATTAAGGATTACATTCTTTGGTCTTACATGTAAAATGGTAAGTATTTGTATATGTTTATGAAAATACATGCATTTAAAGTTTTGAATCAAGGTAGACAACTCTTGTCGGCCATTTTGATGCCAGGATAAACAAAGTACATGTAAGTAAATAAATCATTTCTTGAAGTATAAACCTCTTTAGTGTGCCTTATATAGTCCTAGAGCCTCAGAATGTCCTATATCATGGTCTTAATTCCTTCATTTACCAGAAAATTATCTAAACACATAAAATCATCAAATATGAATGGCTGAGGCCAGTTCAGGAATCCTGGCAGGCAAGTTTTAAGCATTGACTGAAAAGTATTACCTCATTTGTCAATAAATTATGCTAGTTTAATGTTCATATTGTCATAAAACATTATTTGTTTTAAACTGATATATCCATTACAAGGTCCTAAAAGTAATTTAGTTGATAAACATTCACAGTCCCTTACAATACTATAAAAACTGCTTCAACACTAATCAAACTTGGCACAAATGTTGACTGGACCATTGCCCTTGCAACAACATGTTCAGGCTTAAATTTTCTGTTACCATGGCAACGAGGGGACATCTCAAAATTGCCAAAAATCGCTATTTTGCGTTGATTTTTTCCATCAAAATTGATTTCAAAGTGCTGCAACTTCTCAATGGATTGAGATAGAGTCAAATGCTTTTCAGCGTTGCTTACACGTTACCTTATGATCAATCTGGGGTCATTAATATAGCCTCTCACAAGTCCAAAATTTTCTTGGCGTTGAGGGACTCCGCCCCCCTTCAAACCCCCCAAACAGAAGGGGACACATCCCCGGTCTGGCAACCCCCTGATGTATCTTTTGGTTGGGGGACCGCGCCAAAAAGAGGTCACTTTTTAGCTCACCTGTCACAAAGTGACAGGGTGAGCTTTTGTGATGGCTTTTCGTCCGGCGTCCGTCCGTCCGGCGTCCGTCTGTAAACTTTTACTTTAAATGACATCTCCTCATAAACCACTAAGCCAATTTCATCCAAACTTCACAGGAATGTTCCTTTGGTGGTCACCTTTAAAAATTGTTCAAAGAATTTAATTCCATGCTGAACTCCGGTTGCCATGGCAACCGAAAGAAAAAACTTTAAATATCTTCTTTTAAAAAACCATAAGAGCTAGAGCTTAGATATTTGGCATGAAACATCTTCTAGTGAGTGTCTACCAAGTTTGTTCAAATAAAAGCCCTGGGGTCAAAATTGGCCCCGCCCCGGGGGGTCATTGATTTTCCCTATATGCATATAGTAAAAACTTAAAAAATCTTCTTTTAAAGAACCCAAAGAGCTAGAGCTAAGATATTTAGCATGAAATATGTTCTAATGGGTGTCTACCAAGTTTGTTAAAATAAAAGCCCTGGGGTCAAAATTGGCCCCGCCCCGGGGGTCATTGATTTTCCCTATATGCATATAGTAAAAACTTAAAAAATCTTCTTTTAAAGAACTCAAAGTGCTATGGCTAAGATATTGAGCATCAAACATGTTCTAATAGGTGTCTACCAAGTTTGTTCAAATAAAAGCCCTGGGGTCAAAATTGGCCCCGCCCCAGGGGGTCATTGATTTTCCCTATATGCATATAGTAAAATCTTAAAAAATCTTCTTTTAAAGAACCAAAAGAGTTAGAGCTAAGATATTTAGCATGAAACATGTTCTAATAAGTGTCTACCAAGTTTGTTAAAATAAAAGCCCTGGGGTCAAAATTGGCCCCGCCCCGGGGGGTCATTGATTTTCCCTATATGCATATAGTAAAAACTTAAAAAATCTTCTTTGAAAGAACTCAAAGAGCTATGGCTAAGATATTTAGCATCAAACATGTTCTAATAGGTGTCTACCAAGTTTGTTCAAATTAAAGCCCTGGGGTCAAAATTGGCACCGCCCCGGGGGTCATTGATTTTCCTTATATGTGTATAGCAAAAACTTAAAAAATCTTCTTTGAAAAAACCCAAATAGCTAGAGTTTAGATATTAAGCATGAAACATCTTCTAGTAAATGTCTACAAAGTTTGTTCAAATAAAAGCCCTGGGGTCAAAACTGGCCCGGCCCCAGGGGTGTCATTGTTTTTAACTATAATTATGTGTATAGTAAAAACTTTAAAAAATCTTCTTTTAAAAAGCCCAATGAGCTAGAGCTTAGATGTTTAGCATGAAACATCTTCTTATGGGTGTCTACCAAGTTTGTGCAAATAAAAGCCCTTGGGTTGAATTGGCCCTGCAACGTTGGGGGGGGGCCTATATACAGGTGAGCGACCTCAGGGCCATCATGGCCCTCTTGTTTAACAACATTTCTCAAACAAAAACAAGTGTTTGGGGGCCTAAATAAGGCATTTTTTCACCATTTGAGACAACAAAAAGGGGGGGGGGTGAAAAAGGAGTTAAAAGGCGTGTATATAACGTAATGGGTTAAGTAGTACTAATTGCCAAAAACATCAGAGCAAAAGATAATAATTGACCAAGAGTGACTTTAAGGAAACTATTACAGGACATAAAAAGATTTTAAGAAATAAAATGATAGCATTTCTGGGGCATAATGGGAATTATAATGATATTATTGGCTAATGTTATAGCACTGACAAAATACAATGACATTAGCACACATCACACTTTGATCAACAGACTATTTATATCTTTTCAGGTATCAGTGATCAACAATGGCACACCCATCTTGGATGAAAGGATCGTCCGCATTTCCAAGCCCAGTGCTTCAGATATTCTTTGATACCATTGAATTTTTCATCCGTCCATTTATGTGGTGTCTTACAGGAACTTTTGGACCTTTTTTGCCTACAACTAAAGAACTCAAGCATCCGAAATATCTAATTCTACAGAAATTATTTTTTGTTCCAATTTATGCTGCAGGTGCTCTTTTGTTGTTACTACCTGTGATAGTTGCTTTTCTATTTAGAAATATTTTACATCAGTTTAGGCGGCCATTTTGTCTCTCCGTTCAAAAGGACAAAGCTGTTGCAAGTCCGAAGTCAACATATTCCGTAGCGACTAGCAACCTTTGTCTTATGCCAGAGATATTTTCGAAATTTAACAATCTTGACAAAACGGCAGAAAGAGCCGTTAAAGTCGGCGAGAGGATAGTAATTGATCAGCTTCATTATACGGACATGATGGAGAAATTTTTGAAAAAATCGGACCATACTATAAGAAACGGTGCTATTTACTCACATGAACACAGTGGAGTACAAACAAGAAGTATGGACAAATCGAAAAACCTAAACAGTTCACAAAATCGAGATTCTGACGTAAAAGTGGACGTTGTTGCGCATTTCCCGCAACTTGACTTCTTATGCCTCCAGGAGACATTTGATCGTGATTTTACAAAGTTGCTAGTGTCGGAACTTCATAAAGTTTATCCTTGGATAGTATATGATGTTGGGTATAACAGTCCAAGGTTGAATTATTGTGGTCTTAACAGTGGATTGATGTTTGCCAGTCGATATGAAATTTTAGAAATAAAGTTTAAACCTTTTACATCAAGATGTGGATTCTGCACCATAGTTGGAAAAGGTCTCTTAATGGTTAAGGTAGGTGAAATCTGATCTGAAATCCTTAGAGTTTTCCAGGTCATTTTCCTTAAACAGTACCGTTCATTATTGTCTTATAATTATAAAGTGGTCTGCTCTCCAATAAGGTAGTAACTCAAAGTGGTCTGCTTCTTATTGGCATGATTGGAGGAGTAACTCATAGAAAATGTCTGTTTTCCAGTTACAAAGCAAGTCGTAAAGCACAGTAAGTTCAATAATACACCAATTTTAAGAAATACAGCAAGTACAAATTGTGCCGCAAGTCCAAATGTAAAGTAAATTTAAGAGCCTAGCAAGTTTAAGTGCAGCAGGTCTAAGATGTGCAGCATGTTCAAAACTGCAGCAAGTCTAAATAGAACAGTAAGTTCAAAACCACTGAGCAAGTCCAAAACATTTAGTGCAGCAAGTCCAAGAAGCGCAGCAAGTCTAATAAGGCAGCAAGTCCAAAAGTCCAGAAAGGTCATTAGTTCCTCAGTCAAAGCAACCATTTCAAAGTTAATAAGACATAGACACCTTAAGTAGTGTATCAACACAGACCTTTTTCTGACAACCAGTTTGACTTTTTGCAAGTTACTACATGTATTGTATAATAAATAGCTAAAACCTGACTAATGCTACAATGAAATCATGTATCATGTTTTCTGTGAAATACTAAAAGTCTCAATGGAACAACAGTGTTTTGGCTTTAGAAATCCCTTGCCAATATTTGTTTTTCCTCGGCTCCTTGGGGAACAACAGACTGTTTTATCAACACTGATTCAAAAATATTTAATTCTTTTACCTGTACAGCATTTTCTTTTGGCAATTGACAATTTCTATTTATATGTCTTCTATTATTCTATGCTCCTTAATTTACTCTCTTTCCGCCTGTCCAGGCCATCGTCTCACTGCTGTGGGTTCTAATCCCGACAGGGACTTTGGATTCTTTCATGTGAGGAAGTTATCCAGTAAGCTTACAGAATGTTGGTGGTTCTACTCAGGTGCCCATTGGTGTCTGAACTAATGCACGGAAGGGTAACTGTATGAGGTCTATCTCCATCAGTTAAGCTTGAAAGTCGCTACCGATATATGACCTAAACTGTGTTGTTGTGACCTGAAAGTCAACACTCCAAAATAAAGGAGGCCATCTTCTATCAAGGACATCGTTGGTGTCTATAATGAATCATATACTGTGATAGTTCTAGGTAATTTACTGGTAAGTTTTTTATAGGTTTGCGTGCAGAAGAGGACTAATGGAGGAAATGATGTTGGATTTATTTTTGACACCCACCTACAAGCTTTTCAGGGTAAGATTTTGTTCTTAATGAAGTAATTTGTCATGTGGTGCATACTTCGAGTTAATAATTAATCAGTAATTAAATTTTCAACATGACATTAAATTGATTTTAAAATTGGTGTGAGAGTATTGAAATACAAGTTTGTAAGTCATGACTATTTTATCAAACATTTATTTCATTTCGTAGTATGCAATCTATGCCATGTTTTGCTTTATAACTTAACTTTTATCCTACTTGCCAAAATAGGTACATTTTTAAATATGCTTTATCATCACCTTAGTGCATTAACTTGTTAACTCCTTTTGAATTTAGAAGGACTTAAACCTATTACTGCACTAAGGTGAAGATAGTTTCAGTGAAAATTTACCAGAACCATGAGTTAGCAGCAGCTGACTTCTTAACAGCTAGTTGACTGAAAGCTGTCTATAAATAGCCTCTGCTACATGTATATATCATTGATGCATGTTATATTGAATTGAAATTGAAAATTCTATAAAATGTGTGGATAAATTCCATTCATAGTTGTTGGAATTTTATTTCAGGTTAATTTATCCCCTTCTCTGATTTGACATGCTCACTAATATATATCCCCCTTCAGAGAGCCACAGGTTGTTTTGAAAATTGAAAACAAAATCACTGTGGTGAAGCATTGATCTTTATTCAGTCAATACATATTCTGAAATTATCCCCTTAAAATGATAAATGGTTTTGTCCAGAATCAGAATAAACGATGGACGATTCCATTTAAGATATTTACAGGCTGTCAACCAATTCCTATATTCCTATAAAACTCCTATATTTTGGGTCGGAATCCTATATTTTAAAAAACCTCCTATTTTTCCTATATTCTCCTATATTTTGAATATTTTTCCTATATTTTTTAAAAAATATATTGCCGAGGAATTCAAAGAGATTTAAATTTTGGTACTGCTTTTGGCCTTTTGTATTTTACAGGTAAGAGAATGTGTATGCCTGCATCAGCATCACATTACTATGCTCAAGGCTGCTGTGCTCCACATAGCAATCTGCATGGTCACCATGAAAAGCAGTGCATCAGTATGTCAACTTTATTTCAGGTGACCATTCAGATGATGGTCATGCATTGCTGTAACTTTCTGGCGGGATGCTGATGCTGTGGTTCAAAGCTAATGCAGGCTGTCCAGGGTCCCTAAAATTCCTAAAAAAATCCTAATTTTTTCAGTTTGGCTAAAATTCTTAAAAAAGTGAAAAATTCAAAGGGAATTCCTAAAAATGCCCTATTTTTTCACTGAAATTCCTAATTTTTTTTATCTTTTGTTATAAACATACTTATAACTTGTAACCCTGTCAAAATAATCACGGACATAACTAAGTCGACCATGTTTTGAACATGGTCAAAAATGATTTGGGCATGATTTGCCAACTTAAAATTGATGACATTGAAATGGTTTCGTTTTAACTAAAAGTTACTTTGACTATGTCAGTAACATTGCTGTTTCATAATCAAAGCACTTGTTGAAAATCATGTTGACAGTTAACAGCAAAAATACTACCATATAACCTTAAGTGTCCACTTATTCTGGAATATTTTGACACTGTTTTGCCAACTCCAGATATCTTGAATTTTATGTTTGTTCATTTTATCCAAATTTCTGAAGTGGTCCATTTATATCATATCATATTTGAAAATGATCATTATGAAGCTGTTGTAACACAATCTTAATTAAAGACATGTATAAATAGTTGTCAAAAATTAATGTACAATTTGTTTACTCACAACTCTTTTATTTAAATCTGCATAATATCAAAACAACATTGTAAAGTACTGAATGGGTTAACATAGACTTTGAAAAATTAATTCTTTCCCTCATACTTATTTATCCTTTTCGATGTCTTTGTAGGAGAAATTGCTTATTTTGCCACAAAGTTATCAATTTCATTCAATTCTTGTTCTTTCATTCATATGGTGCAATATAGGAAAAGACAGACTCATATAATTAATCACACTCAAAATAATTTGGCAGTAATATAAAGCTCATTTCCAATTACAATGTACACACATTTTGCAATTATGTGATTTCAGATAAACTGCAATTGAATGGTCTGTGTGATGAACTTTTTTGATATGCAATTCTTTGTGTTGATTATAGATGCTTCCCATTTATTCAAATGACTGTACTAAGGCAAATGCCTTTTTACTTCCTACTTGTACAAAAATTTCATTTGTCCATATTCAAAAGCTGCATTGTGCAAGAATTTCACTGTATAAGAATTCCTTTTAGAGACACTTGTGGTTATAACATTCCCAAAACATAGGTAGAACATGTTCTTTTTGACATGTTCAGCCATTTTAAAAAATATGGTTTGAACATGATTTGACTATGACCATTTCTGCAGGGGAGGCAGTTGACCAGTGAGTCCACACTGGTAGCACCTTTGCTCTAACTAAACTAGAGCATTATTTGTGAGTTACTTTTGTGTCAAATATGCAAAGGTTAGCCCACATTATGGTCCTTTGGGACCTTAGTTTATTTAGTTATAAAATTGCAAATTTTAGCCCTAAAATTTCTATTACATACCCTAAAATTCCTAATTTTAGCCCTAAAATTTCTGAAATATTACCCTAAAATTCGCCCTAATTTTATGTCGGAAGGTGCTGGACAGCCTGCTAATGGTGTCCTTCACTTATACGGTAAACATTTTATTGTAGAAACAGCATGTGTAAAAGTAAGAATAATTTACATTTATATAAGCATTGGTAAGTTAAACAATTTAAGTTGAAAACTCCTATTTTTTGCCTCAAAATGGTCCAAAAACTCCTATATTTCCTGCTAAAATATTCCTATATTCCTCCTTTATTTTGGATAAGACCTGGTTGACAGCCTGTATTTAGCAGGGTATAGGTTAATATCAATTTTGCATCTTAATGAAGGAAGTAAGACATTAGTTTAAAATTGTCAAACAATGAGACACTAGCATTAATTTTGCTCTCTTTAAATGGCAAATTGCAGGATAAATTGCATTTTCTAATGATACAGTGAATGATTGATGATGTTTAATAACTCTCAGCAATGTTGTTCCCCAACTACTTGTATATCAAAATAAAAAGATAAACACTTACACCACTCCATAAGGATGATATGTTTTAACAAAAATAAATTTGCTGGGTTTTCAGTCTTATCAACATTGTTAAGGTCATAATTATGGTGACTTTCCAAGAAAACGTCAGGGTCTCCTGTGTAAATTATTTTAGGCACCAGCAAGCATCTGAATAGAAACCACCTTTCATAATGTTTGTTAACAAAATCGAACACTTACCGTATTAATACCATGTCCAGTTTAGTGAGTTTTTACTGAACATAGAATACATGTACTAATTTAATTGGTTTTCTTGCAGTAATGATGTGTAATATAGTACTATACCTTTTATAATTTGGCAGGACCATTTAAAAATTTATATTTTTATTTTAGGAGATAATCCAGTAGTTTATCATCAGCTGACAGAGATTTTAGATTGGTCGTCAGAATTTAGAGAGGAGACAATAGAAAGTGGAGATAATGTATTATTTGATATGCTGTGTGGAGATTTTAATATAGATAACATGTCACCAGGTATATTGGTTTGATACTTGTATGAGATAAAAGTTGTAGTGCTTGTGTTATTTTGAGCTATTTCAGTCCCTTAAATTTGAGTGAAGTTTTGGGTCACTGGGGTCAAGGTTTCCAGTGCTTAAAATAGAGTTTAACACTTTTTCCTCTATAGCTCTCAATTATATTGACCAATGATTAAATCATTTCATATGGGATTGAACTTTGTGCATTTGTCATATCTTCCTAAGTGCAGCAAAAGTTGGTGTCTTATAACTTCTGCATGCATGTTTATATTGGTACACATGAGTATTACCTACTAAGACATAGCCCCTTAGTTTTTTAATGTCAAGGTCACAGCAAATAATTAAACATTGTGCATTTGTCTGTATCATATAGTCTTAAGTGCAGCTGGAGTTAGTGATCAGTCCATAATACAGTTTCAAGACCCATGTCTGCACCATCAAGGTCAAAGTCATACCTACAGGTCAAAGTTCAAGGCGTGTCTGGCTTAAAATCTTCATTACTGTATGGGTTGTCAAAATATTTTGCATAATTATGCCTTCACCATAATCAGATGTTCTGTCCTGTGAAATGCCCACATCTGTATCTTGAAGGTCATTGTCATATTTTAAGGTCAAATTGTGTTAGGCCTATTACTTTTTTACTTGATTGTTGAAATGATGGACCAAAGATCCACATCCAGACTAATATGTTTTTCATCTCTGTCGTATAACTTTTTAACGATGAAATGCCAAACATTTAATAATTGTCCTCACCAGAATCAAGGAGTATGTTGCATGCAACTCCAATGTGAAGAGTTTTTTTTTGGGGGGGGGGGAGTGTTTAAATGCCATAATGGTGCTTGATTTTTTTCAGAAAGATGGATTTTACTCTGAGAATATTAGAATCAATGTCATGTAGATAGTTTTTGTAAATAATATACCGGTAAGGTTAATGCAAGGTTGTAAAATACTTTTCATGATTATTAAAGAAACTTGGACTTTAATTTTCTTAAGCTTTGAGTAGTCAAGAATCAAGGACACACCTAAATTTTATTTAAGTTTTTATTATGACATTAGGTGTACTAGCCTTGCTCTGAAACCTTGTTTAATATGATTGAAATTAGATATGTTTACAGTAGAAACCCTACTTAAGACCACCCCGGAATTAAGACCACCCTGCTATATAATATTATAACCAGACCAATGAAATTTAGTATTAAATTTCTTCAGAAATATGTTTTGCTCTCATTAGATTAAGTAGTATGGCATATTTTTATAGTACTATTTGAAGGTTAAAATACATATTGTTTATTCATACAAAATGACTAAATTAGACCATGGTCATAAAATATATAAGCAATGATAAGAATATCCATGATTGAAGCCACCAAGAAGGACCACTTTGGTGCAGTCCCATTTGTGGTCTTAAAATTGGGGTTTAACTGTAACATACATGTATTTAGGGAGAGTGTGGGCAACTATACTGATGCAATTAAAATTTAAAATTCTGTTACAGGAGATGTGCATATATCAGATCATAAATTGTTTGAAACTTATGTTGATATTTGTCGAGAAAAACCAGGGAAGGACTATGATTGGACTGTGGGTAAGTTACATTTTCAGTTTTATAAATTATTCAAAGATATTTTATAAAAGCGTAAGAGCTGAGGGCAATTTAATCAATTTTTTTTGTCCAAATCTGAAACTTACACCAGAGCAGGTATAAACTTGTAGTGTCTTCTTAACAAAAATCCAAATCCCACCAAAGGGCTAGGTACGTTTTGTGTCGATTTTGGCCCAAAATTTTGAGGAAATTAAATATTGAATATAAATGAATCATTTCATGTCAATTAACAAAGCAACATATATGCAAGTAAAAACTGACGTTCCTTTGTATCGCGGCAACGTTGATGATGTCACGGATGACGTCATTTGTCCTCTATTTCGGACAAAATTCGCTAAAATGGGTAAATTTTGGTGTTATTCTACAAATATCAGGTTAACGCATTTTTTAACCGCTTAGGTTTTTACATTTTATATTACCATAATATATTAGCTTTAAATTATCACCTACTATTTTGCGGTTACTGCTTGCGCACTTCTGTTAATTACCCAAAGTTTACACTCCGTCAGTCTGCTGTTTACATACTGGCAAATGGCGACGGATTGGTAAGGGGCGTAATCGAGTATATATTGGTTGTAGGAGAGGCTCCAGTTCTTTAATTAGTGAAGAGATAAATATCACCGTACATTTTAATAAACTAAAGTTTTTCTCTTTAATGACCAATTCCAATAATATGCAATAATATTTGCATGTTAATTATTCTAAGACATTTATATCAGATATATTTTCCCCACACATTAAATTTAGTAATACACAAAAAATGTTGACACTAATCCACTGATTGATAAATATGTGTGACCTTTCTCGTAAAATTAAAATATTGGTTTGCTGGGCAAGTGTGTCAACATCTGTCTGCATAGATGACTCCGCCTACATTTACCTAGAAGTTTGTCACGTACGCACGTCGGCAAAGACTTTTGAAGTTTTGATACAACCGCCCTTTAATGATGATTGACACATTTAGCGCACCAAATGATCTCTAGCACGGGTCAATCACTTGTCTCCAGCAACAGTTTATTTAGAAGGGTGGTGTGAAATTAAATCTTGTCAAAAAATTCTGAATATAGATCATTAGTTGCGGTTTTGTTTTATACATTTGTAATAAAATAATTTTACAAGTTCTTCAAATGTTTGCATGCTTGCAATTATCTTGGAAGTGTCGAAATTTTGTGCATTATTTTTAACATACGAGTCTCTCTTGCTTCAAAAACTTTATGCCACTTTTTAACATTTTTTTTTCTTTTGTCAGATGAAACATTGGTCAGGTATAGAAACAGGTATGCTGAATACCTTACGCTACCACAGTGACAAAGCACAGCGCATGCTTTACTGTAAAGTTACAACATATACCGCTCTGTTAATTTTAGAAACATTTTTAAAGTGTCCTGGAAATCAGTCTTGAAATTATGGCATGTATGTGTTTTTTGCATACTTACCTTGTAAATGATAAGGAATTTCAACTTTGTGCTCACCGGTAATATATTGAATTACATTACATATGGTAAAACGAAAATGTATGTTATCGATATAGCTCAAAAAGCTTTTTTGTCGGCAACTGTACCTATATTTTACGAGTCATAACTTGTGTTGAAACAAAACTGAAAATAAGAAACTCGTCGGGAGTATTTTTGTACTGATATGCAAATTAATTGCAGTTTATTACAGTATATTGTTGCACCAATGGTATATGTCATTGAAAAAGCTAAGAAATTTTATGCACTGTTTTTACGTGTTCATGTGTATTCTTTACATCATAAATGGAAAAGGAATTCAAACCTATTTTATGTTTTATGTTGTTAGATATGTAATCTAAATATTCAAAAATCTGGAGACAAAGTGACCCCTCGGAAGCATTAATCACAACAAAATTACATAAGAATTGCAGACTCGGTTTGATTGAGTCTGTACATGAGGGATAATGAATAAGTGCAACATCCCTCACGCCCCCTAGCACCGGCTTGAGCGGTACTCAATTCTCAACACTTAATAGTGCTGGCAACAATGATCCCGAAGGACCAGAAAATTATAACAACACTGAAGTGAAGTACGGGGCAACTTTTTTACAGCTGCCACACAGCACTTGACACCTTCAAAGTCTGACAATGGAATATGTGGTATTATCCATTTACAGGAAAGATAAATACTAGTGTAAATTATCCGGAAGAAAGTTTATGTTGATTGATCACTGCCTTTTCCTATTTTTTTCAATTAAAACAGTATTCTACATGTAAGCAAGTTGGAAATATTTTTATATGAAAACAAACTACTAGTTTTAATGACTACGGTAGTTTAAATTAATCGTGCATATATACCCTGCAAGAGAAAGAAATCCGTAACAGAAAAAAATCTTTTACTAAATCTCGTTACATGTTCTGTTTGTATTTTAGTTTTTTAACAGAATATAAACATTTTAGCATCTGCATCATCGTATTATAATGATGATCTGTTTTTGAAAGATACTAAAAAAAAAAAACCCAAAAAACTTCGACTAAACAATGCCGACTTTTTGTGTGTGTACATGTGTTTTCCTTCTTTTCCTACGTATTATTTTTTATTTAATATTTCATTTCATTAATTCAATTATGTTTTTAAACGTCATCTTAAAATATTAAAAGTAGGTTCTCCGCGGTGATCGCCGACAAATATCATATGAAACACGAAACTATCCAGTATTCAAGTTTTGGAAAATTCAAAATTATTTGTTTCGTATAAAATTAATTTAAGCTGTATTGCATCCCGTGGAATATTAAAGACATGACAAAATCTATATACCGAGTACATAGACATTAATTAATCAACGAACGTGGTTTTCCAAGTGATCTCCCTTTTTAATGTAATCACAGACGCTTGGGGGTCAGATCCTGCCCCCCAACGTGATACGCCCCTGTAAACACTCTACCAAAACTATTTTAATATTTAAACACGAATGGGACATCTAATACAACGATAAAAATGGTTTTCAAACATTTTTTACATATATGAAAAAATACCGTATACCATCAAGTCTCAATAAAGTAGACTTGATGGTATACGGAATTTTTTCATATATGTAAAAAATGTTTGAAAACCATTTTTATCGTTGAAATAGATGTCCCATTCGTGTTTAAATATTAAAATAGTTTTGGTAGAGTGTTTACAGGGGCGTATCACGTTGGGGGGGCAGGATCTGACCCCCAAGCGTCTGTGAATGTAATGACGTTTTGGCAGGAATTCAAAAGAGGTTAATCATTCGACTTTTTCGGCAGTATGACAGTAACTCGATTGTTTTATTTATCAAAAGTGAATTGCAAAATTCTTATTTTGAATATGATAGATAATGTTTATATTTAATAAAAAAGCAAAACAAACGTTAAAAAGTGCAAAAAAGACCAAATTTTAGGCTGATTCCGGTAAACCTTCCGACAGTATGGCAGTAACCTGCTGATATTAAATATCTTGTTTTATTAATCAATAGTGATTTTATTTACAAAAATCGTTTTACATATCATTGATATCGTTTTCTATTTAATTTAAGATGCAAGAAAATTGGTTAAAAGTTCATAAATAAGCAAACTACAGGCCGATTTCGGTAATGATTCGCCGATTCCGGCAGTTTACCCGTTTCCGCCGATTTTAAATATTTTCACTGTTAATGTTAATTAAAAGCGATATTTTTTTCACTTTTTCTTTGGAGACCAATTATAACGTTTAAGTTTTATAAAACCTGGCAAAACAAATATTATTAAAATGCATAAATAACCAAATCACAGTCCCTCGACGAATCCGGCAGTATGGCAGTAACTCTCCGATCTTAGATCTATTTTTTAATCACAAAATCTTTTGACATATCATTTATAATGTTTATATCTTATAAAAAAGCAAAATTATTCTTTAAAAATTCATTAATAACAAAATTACAGGTCGATTCTAGTAAAGTCCCCGCGGATTCCGGTAATTCGGGCAATTCCGGTAGGTCAAGTAACCGAGGCATACATCTTACAGATTATGTGAAAGATCAATATCATAATAATAATAATAATGATGATGTAATAATGATAATGATAGTCAAACATGTGCATACATATAAGTTCTGAACTTTACTAAATAGGTTATAACATAAGACCACTGAATAAAAAAATATTGTCATAGCGGTAATATTACGAATATGTGCCTTTTTCGTACATAGATTTCGGTGGTTTTCGTACATAGATTTCGGTGGTTAGCCCTTTTAAAACTGAAGAAGGTTCAGTGCCGAAAATTTAGCTATGAACTTGTTAAAGTAATTGTGTATTTTATAAAATAGCAGTAACTGAATAGGCCCTACACTTCATAAATAGGGTAAGTAAATTATATAAATAAAGGCTGTTGTATATGTCTTCCTTTTCGTCTGTTTTAATGTACTTCACAGTGACTAATTATTTATGTCTGCGTATCGTAATTGAACGGTAGAAATGTACATCAAATGTATCATTAACTCCTTTGCATTACACGATAAAAAAATCAGAAAATACATATGCGTCATTATATTTTTAATTACTCGAAGCGATGCGCTCAAAATAATACGTGACGTTGATGACGTCAAACTGTAGTATTTTTATTTTCTTGATAGGTTGTTTTGATTTATTATAACTTTTTTGTCTAAACAGATATCTGACTCAATCTTGCTGCATTTGTTTTAAATATAGTTAATTTTTTATATATCAAATTTTTAATATTTTTTGCCGATGGGCCAAAATTGACCCAAACCGTACCAAGCCCTTTTGCTTTGAAATTCACAAAGCTTCAGAATCCAATATGGCGTCCAATATGGCTGTCAATTTTTCAACAAATATATATCTCATTATGGTAGATTTTACAGCTCTTTGACTATGAGATATAGCTGTACACCCTTTAATAGTTAATAAAGAAAAATGATGGTCATTACAGAGCTTTAACAAGTAACTTCTGCTCTTTTTGTAATAATATTTGCTAATTTATATAATCAACGATTTAATATGCAAAAC